TATTGTCTGCATTGTTAGCTCATTCATTGAGACCTAGGGGGAGGTTTATGTAAACTCTCTAGAGATTTATGTCCTGTTCTGCTAGACGGTATCCCTAAAGCGTAATCAAAATCTAAGTATTTTTTGTTTGGATGAAGATTGGGAATTAGGAGGAGAACTGAAGTTCCTAGGTGCTAGGTTCTAATTATTCTTATTTATCAGTAAAGGAATACTTTTTGTGTTGTACAACTCATTGATAAGAATATTCCAACTGTAATATATTATGGCACAGAGTATACTAGAACTTAAAAATGCTTAGTATCAGTTTAGGTAGAAAGCTGCCAAAGAAAAAGCTCAAAGCCTGGAAGAGTTCATCATGTCATCAGCCTTGGGGCTCTGCAGGTTGACTAGAATGTTGAGTGAATGTAGGAAGTGGCAAGGGGAGAGGATGAAAGTAGAAATGATGATGATGATGATATAAGGAAATGGAAGGTCTTACCTTTTTCTTGGAAAGTTGTGATTCTCAAATTGGTGACAGTATTAATAGCATTGTGTAAGCATTGTAAACTAAGTTTTATGTCCATTTCTTTCTTAGTATCTTGTCCTTTAAATATGACAGCTAAGGCTTCAAATTACTATCATAATATCTCTACTCACTAAAGAATTAATAAAATTTGATGTTCATTTTAATATAGTAGGCCTTACCCGCCTTCAGAAATCAATACCATATTGTAATAGTGCTTTATTATGGGTTGTTGAAAGGTGGTAAAAATGAAGAAAAATACTTCAGGGAGTCAGAGGCTTTGCAGGGGTAGAAAGGAAATGCTTTCCTATAAAAAGCATGAATTTGTGTGTATTTTGTTTTCTTTGAGCCTTTGTAAAATCTGTTATTGGTAAACTAAATCTTTCAATTTTTTTAAAACTTTTTGATTTATATATCTTTGAAAAACTGAGTGATGGTGTTAAGCCGAGCATTTGTGTGCTTGAATTTGTTATTTTTTTTTTGTGCTTGAGTTTTTAAAAATAAAACTTATCTTTAAAATGATTTCAAATACTGAATTAATGGGTTTTTGTGTGTGTGCTGGGTCTGTGTTAACTACAGCTTATATCTATCCATTTTGCAACTTAATGAAATTAATCTTTTATGGTACTCTTGGTTAGTGTTTTTATATTCCCTCATCTATAATTCAGTGAGAAGTAAGTTTTTAAAGAATTGCATTCAGACAAGGGTAATTATGCAGGTTCAGGCAGGAGCTTAGTCATAGCCATGGAATACACTGAGCAATCTATGAATTAGAAAAGATGTGAACTCTGTTTAAAATGTAAATGCATGGCTATGTCTGCCAGAAAATCAGTTTTTATAATCCATAAATATTTGTTAAATATTAGTTGTGAATGCATTCAAATATTTTAGGTTTGAAAATTGCAAATTAAAAATAGAAACAGCATTTTCTAGCTCCATAAGGTATTTCCTGCTTTGAGTATTTCATTCTGAATTATTTTATTTCTTGGTGTTTGTATTACTTTTGATTTAATTCACACTCAAGCTTCTATTTGTATAACTATCTATAAGGGAGTCTGTATGGGATCATCTTGCATATTGCTCTTTTCCATACTCCATGCTTTATCGTTAGGTACTATAGAGACAAGTACACCTTATAGTGACCCTAGGAACCTGCTCTATCCTGTGTCATCCTCATCATCTCTGACATACTCAGGACCATTGCAGCAGTCACTGTGACAGTCCATCTCATGGAAGTTCTTCCTTTCATTCATCTACTCTCCATCTTTCCAAGCGTGATTTTCTTCTCCAAGGAAGAGCCTCTTTTAACAATGTACACAAAGCATGTAAGATGAAGCTTTGTCATGTTTGCCTCCAAGGAGCACTCTGCCTGCACTTTCTCTAAAACATAATCTGTTTCTTTTTTGACAGTCCATGGAGATTCGTGAAGAGTTCAGTACTCTTCCCAACACCAAAATTCAAAGGTGTCAGTTCTTCTGTCGTCCTTATTCATTGTTCAGCTTTAAGATGCTTAGCAAGTGATTGAAAAGATATGGACTAAGTCAGCCACACCTTAGTCTTCAAACTAACATTGTTGTTCCTCAGTCATTCCCTGACTGCAGATTTTCCCAATGCTATACATCTCCTGATTTACTGATTGCTAGTATCAAAGGTATTGATTGTAGATCCAAGTAAGATGAAGTTATTGACAATTTCAATTTGTTCTCCATCTTATCATGAAGTTGCCTAACAGTGCAGAGGTGAGAAATTTTGTTTTCTTATGTTGAGATATAATCTGCATTGCAGGCTGTAGTCTTTGATATTCTGCATCAAGTACTTCAAGTCTTCCTCACTTACAGCAAGCAAGATTGTGTCATCTGTATAAGGCAGGTTGCTAATGAGTCCTCCTCTGATCCTGATGCCACAGTCATCTTTATAGAGTTCATCTTCTTGAATAATTTGCTAAGCATACAGATTGAATGTTGTTTTTGTTAGGTACCATTGATGATGACCCATAGCAACCCTATAAATAACAGATCTGAAACCTGTCCTAACCTGTGCCATTTTCACACTTCTAACACCTTAGAGCTCATTAAAACAGTCCCCTTATCAATCTACCTTGTTGAGGGTTCTCCTCTCTCTTATTGAGCATCATTTCCTCTTCCAGGGAATAGCACTTCCTAGCAACATGACTGAATTGTATGAGGCAAAGCGTCATCAACTTTGCCTCCAAAGAGCAATCTGGCCGCACACTCTCCAAGACATTATTTGTTTGTTTTTTTGGCAATCCATGGGATGTTTGGTGCTCTTCTCCAACACCATAGCTCAAAGGCGTCAGTTCTTCTTCTGTTATCCTTAATGAATAAATAAGGAGGAAGATTTTACCCATAACATCTCTTAGTATTGCAACTAGAGCTTGAATGCAAATTGAGCCTTGAATTTATTTTATGTTCTTTCAGTTTGAAAAATGCTGAGCAAGTTCTTTTTTATTCTCCAATTCTAGCTTTCTGCACATTCCATTGTAGTACTTCATTTACTTTGTTTTCTTGAGCTGCCCTTTGAAATCTTCTGTTCAGCTCATTTACTTCAGCATCTCAACCCTTTGTTTTGGCTTCTTGATGCTCTTCTGCAGTTTTCAAAGTCTCTTCTAACATCCCTTTTGGTTTTTTCTTTCTGCAGTCTTTGTAAAGACCTCTCTTTTGCTTTCTTCAAGGATGATATCCTTTATGTCATCCCACAGTTTATTTGGTCATTGATCATTTTTGTTCAGTCCTTCAGACCTATTATTATGATGATTTTTTAATTCAGGTGGGATAGACTCAAGAGCTTATTTTTAGTCTTGTGGACTTGTTTTATTCTTCCTCAGTCTCAATTTGAACCTGAACATGAGTAATTTTAGTCTGTTCCACAGTCAGCCCTTTGCCTGGTTTTGGCTGCTGATAATGAATTTCTCCAATAGTTCCTTTTCAAATGTAGACAATCCGATTCCTGTGCAGTTCTTCAGATTAAGTCCATTTGTAAACTCATCTTTTATATTTTTTTAAAAAGAGAGACTTACAATGAATCAATCATTGAGCATTCCAAATTCATTCATTTGACTGCTAGCCTCATTTCTGTCACCTAGTTCATGTTTTCCAACTGTCTTTCCTTCATTGCTTCCAACTTTTGCATTTTGATAATTAGTTTTCATTAATGCATCTTGATTGCATATTTGGTCAATTTCAGACTTCAAAATTTGATAAAAATCTTCCATTTCCTCTTCTTTGATGTTAGCTTTTGGTGCGTTTATTTGAATAATAAATAATAATAATAATATTTTCTTGTGTGCATATGATTAGTATCCTGGAACTTACAACATTGTACTTCAAGGTGGAACTTGAAATTGTGATTTTAACTATGAATGCAACATCATTCTTCCATTTTTAATTTCCAGCCTAGTGTGATTTGAATGGTTTAACAATGGTTTCCTTGGATAGTGTTGGTTTACAGTTTAAAGATTATTTCTGGACTTTAATTTCAGGAATTCCCTCAGTTTTGATGGATTTAGTAAGTGCATTTCCATACTAAAGTTTAACTCCATACTTTGATTCCTTTTCATCAAAAGTCATTTGTTGAATCCTTGATCAAAATGGTCAGTAATGTAGTTGGGCACCATCCATTTATTTTGATGTCATGGTTACAGAGGTAACAGTTCCTTCTCCATTTCCTTTCTCTCCTGTTTTGATTTATAACAAGACCTCCTTTTATGCCATCTAGCTTCAACGCTGGAAAATCCTTGATAAAAGACCAAAAGGTGGTTATGTTCCAGGCTGACACCCAAGAATGAAGACTACCTTTTTTTTTTTTTTTTTATTTTGTGTGCGTGTACCGTCAAATCAGATCTGACTGGTACAGGAGGATATTGCGCCTCCTTCTCCGGCAGAGCATC